CGTTAGACCTTCATTTAATGTGTATCTGAAAAGCTAGGCAGCTGAAAAAGCTGCAAGTGGGAAATGATGGGACCATTGAATTCTCATCATGCATATAAGAAAATAGTTTTAAGCACTCTCTGAAACCTAAAACTGTGTTTTCGACGTGCAGTCAACAGTCTTTGAACCTGAAGGTTCCCGCTGGATACGTGTTTTTTGATTTGTAGGTGCTTAATTATTGGCATAGAAACAGACAGGGGGAAGGAGACATTAGTACGTGTCTGAGATGACTATTATTGAATGGTTAATTTGGACAAACTGATGGAGTCAATGATTGCTGGAGAAGGTGTTTAACGTGGAAATCTCTGGAAGGTACTCAGGCCATGGAGGCAGGGAGTTAGAATTTTATTTTATTATTAATTATTATTTATTATTATTTTGAAGTAGTTAGACTGTTTTAATTAAACTCGAAAGCTGCTAATTTGACATCAGTTATCTACAAGGAACAGCATGCCTTAAACTTTAAAGAAAGGACACATCAAGAGCAGTAAGTAAAAAGAATGAAACTAGTTCTTGTAGTATTTATGAGCTAAACTGTAACAGTGCACCAGGTTCAAAGATGAAGAGTCATGTGTGCTGTACTTCCTCAGGTATGAAAAGGCTTGTTTTCAGGAGCACTTCTAAAACAAATGTGTCACTGAAGACGATCTTTCCACACCGAACTGGTAAAGCACCGCTCTGAGGAATCTAGTCTTCAAGTTCTTGGGGCTTTTTCCCTGGTTTTCCTTCTCCACTTTCCTATAACTTACCTAAGTTGAAACACAGACCCAAAGCAAATGCAGAAGCTCCGAACCATTAAAATATTAGCCTGACATCCAATGCCTATGAAAAATTTTGAGAGACAAATCTGGATTTTACTCTGTCAAGGTGTGACTAATGTCAAGATATGGCCATGGTTGGTCTGTAGTCCACTACATTCCAATTTCTTTGAAGTGAGTCAGTGTGGTTTTTCACTGCTGCAAAGCTTAAACAACTGGCTGTTAGTTACACTGTAAATCATTGAATCTCAATTACTAAACCTAAGAGTAAAGATTTTTGGTGGAAAAAATGTTGCCTTTGTTGGAACACAAAATGAGCAACTTGAAATGACTGAAGGATTCTGCCCTGAAGAGACCCACCACAAAAAATAGAAACTTTGATACACTACTATAAGCTTCAGGAGAAACAAATTCACAGGAAGCCTTAAAATAATCAGTGTTGACATGAATGTAGGTAGTCAGTGAAGCGTAAGTGATTGTGTGGTGATGGCTGCAAAGCATCCATGCAGAGAGGATGGCTTCCTATTTACTGCAGCCCATACCAAACAGCTGAATGCTTCTTTGGGAATCTTACTACATTCCTGGGTTCAATAATATTTCTTTTTTTCTATCTCTTAATTTTGTGGTTGAAGGGGAAAAAAAAAAATCTATGACAAATCGATTAGATTTAAGAAATCCAAACCCTTCAGCAAAGGTAGCGGCTTGTTTCAGGTTCTTTAATTTCAATTTGTGGCTTTAAGTAAATAATTTTTATTTAAAAAAACAGCCATGTGAAAGTATTAAGCACTGGGAGATTTTTCGGTTCCCTTCAAAGTTGAGGTTTTTTCATTTAGCATCCTTTTTCTTCCCTTTCTTGTACAGAGATACATTTTAGTTGCATATCCAAACAAAGCTATTGTGTCTTACTAAATGAGTGAATAATGTTCTGGAAGGACATTTTATTTCTACAACAGCACAATCCACATCTGTTGGTCTCATTGTTCTGGTTTCATGCTGTTTCTGATGATTCATGGCAAAAGGCTTTTTGTTTTGACTCTTAATCAATGGCAAATACTAATTGCAGAGATGTTCTAACTGCTTCTATCTGTGTAACAGCTGAAGAATAAGAAAGCTTCTGAATCCATTTCTTTTTCAATAGTCTTTTGAGAAACGCGTAAGATGCTTTCATAAACAGCAGCTGACAATGGGATATTTTTCAGACTTGTCTTGTGCATGTCATCTAAAGAAAGATACAATATTTTGCATTAAGTGTGTGGATAAACATGAGCGACTTGCAGTAGTTTATGATCTGTGGTGCAAAGCACAGTGCCAAGTTTATTCAGCTGTGTATCCTCTAGCTCTGCACAGCTCCTCTGTGTATCCTCTAATTTTCTGTGCTTGGTGTGTCTTTTATCAGAATGATGGGTGTCCATTTGCTGTGTGGGATGTGTCAGTGTTTGCCAGGCATGGGCTGTGCCTCTTCATTAACTTCAGATAGACTAGCCGAGGTATTTCCCCCTGCGGGAAGTACCAGCGGTATCACAGGATGCTGGAATGAGTTGTGTGGTGTTATGCTGGGTCTGTTCTGCACGTTTTATGTTTTCAAGAATTTCTGAAATGATTAAACTCATTCTTTCAGTGCACAAACAATTTCAATGTCCTAGTCCGTTCAGTGTCCCAAGACTTTCTCTGTAGGTTTGATTATTATTATTATTTCTTTTAGCTTGTGGTTTGTAGATCTTACTATTTCCTAATACTGCTGGAGAACTGGAATACTTGGCCAATAAATGAAAATAAGTCTCCCAAAACTGGTGGTAGTATGTTGGAGATTTTGTGTGTGTGTGTGTGTGTCTTTCAAAATGTACAGATAAGAGCCCAAATTAAAGGCAGATCTCTGGGCAAGAAATTATCCTGCTCTGTAACTAGGAGAACATTTTCTGGAGTAGCGCATCAATACCTCATTTCAAAGAGTAGTGTCTTGTGATTATAACTTAGTGAATTCCAGTTCCTGGCTGTTTTCATAAAACAGGCTCAGATTTTGTTTGCCTTGGACAGCATCTTCTATGTGACAAGTGCCACTGAGAGGTTTAGTGGTGGAAATCTTATAAGCAGCACGAAAGCAGCATCTCTTTTCTTTGCCCGTGGCTCCAGGAGGAGCTGACTCAGCTGACAACTGTTACTCCCAATAGCTTCTGTTTGGTGTTTGGTAATTTAACACCTGTTCTTTATTCCAAATCTCGTCTTACAAACTCCTTTCCTTGTGGAAAAGGAGATGGGTAAGGCTTCCTTTTCTGGGGCTGCTTACTTATGCCAGAGGGTTGTAAACCTATTTTTTGTTTACAAAAAATGGAGGTACCTGACCGTCAGTGACTGCTTTAAGGACCTGTTCATGCCAACTGGTAGCAGCACGGAGCTCTCCTGGACGAGCAACAGGAAGTCCGTGTTGTGAACTTGGTGACAAAACATGTTTCCAGGCAAATAGAGCCAATCTGCTGCACGCTGGGTGTCTCCCCAGAGTTGTGCTTGCAGCTGAGACAAATTTTCATTTGATGTTTGTCTGCCATGCTATGCTATACTTTGTCTTTGAGGGAGTGATAAAAGTAATTGATACACTCTCTTATTAAATTTTCAAATTTCTCTTTACCCCTTAAATAAAGCAATATATGTATATATCTTATTGGTATGCATTTGTTATGTTTATCAATACAAACATTGATGTATAGATAACTCTTTTGTTCTGGATGTCGATGCCACCTGTAATAATAAATCTTACATTTACAGGATCATCTGCAGCATTGTCATCCCTGTTCCTCTGACAAAGATGTGCTGAAATCTTGAGTAGTAATTAGGGCACTCTTCTGAACGTGTTTGGTTTTCCACGTCAGTGTGTTTTCCTCACTCCCTTGTTTTGCTTACGCTCTGAACGTAAAGCATGTGTCTCTTTTTCAAGGTACAAGTCTCACTACATTTCGGTTCATTTTTCAGAGCCAGTTTCTAAGCTTTTTAAACTTCATTTGGAGAACTCTGTGAATGAACGTGCAATTCAAGAAGTGAACATTATGACACAGCAAGGAAAACATGAGGAAAACGCATTTACCACTGAAACTGCATTGCTTGGCTGCACAATGTGAATACTGAATGTGCACTTTTTAAATAACGTTTAATCAAATAAAAGCCTCTCTTTCTTTTAAGGTTTAGAATTATGCAATTTGTGGATGCAGTACTGAAGCACAGTGTTCAAAGCCATTGAGCCTAGCGTGGTGGTGGATATTTTTAAGGGTCAACTGCAGCTACACAACTGCTTCTCATTAGTTTTACCTGATCTAGTTGAAACTAACACACCTGTTTTGCCCAAGCAAACAGTAATACTAGTCTTGAGCTGATTTTTATATAGTTTAATTGCTTCCTGGGGCATGCCAGGTTAGCAGAAAAAAAGGTAATATTATATAGCACTGAAGGTTGTTTGCAAAGACTACAAAATGTACAATAAAGATGTGAGTTATACATGTGTGTACATGTGTAAGTATGTACTTCCCTTGAACACTGCAGTATTCTTCAGCTCATCTAAAAGAGAGATTGCTGCTGAACAAAGCCTGGGCATGCTATGGGAAGGAATAAATGGAACCTGCCTATTTTCTGCTGGACACTGACTGCATAGGTCTTGTGGGCAGAGAAGGCTCTTACCAATGGGACTGGGAAAGGGAAAGGCTGGAAGGCAAAGGGCATGCCACTTCTTGCACCATCTGCTGCTTTTATATAAGAGGGTGACACGTGTTTCTGATATAACAGCTGTCTGTGAGTCAGAGATGATAAGGAAAGAAGAAATAATAGAGGCAGTAAAGCTAGGGAACAGAGGAAAAGAACAGCATTTATTCTGCAAGGTATGTATGAGAGAAAAGGCAAAAAGCTACTTCTACCTTTTTTTGTTGAAAAGAGATAAAACTGTTTAAGCATATATATTGTCATGATAATGAATAAGCCAGATCATTCATCAACCTGAAGGGAGCCCAAGACATCTGCTCTGAAAGGACCAAGCTTAGGTAATAGGAAAGGTCTTTGTAACCTTATGTGAACAAGTTGTTCTGATCCGTGTGCGCTTCCTAGAGCACTAGTGACAAATACCTTCGTGTTTTTACGGTCAGCTGCTCTGAAATCTGTAACTGCCTGTGTGAATATTGCACACCTGCAAGCTCTCTAAGATTTGCACGGCTGTCTTCCCCACAGGCATAGATTATAAGACCACAACGATTCTTCTAGACGGCCGACGCATCAAGTTGCAGCTCTGGTAAGTGCGTGCTTCACCTTTCCTCATCATTTATGTTTCAAAGACTTAGAAATGCAGCTCTTCAGGGCATGAGCTCTCCCTCATGCTTCAGAAATATTTAGTCAACTGAGGAAGAGTGAGCCAGGCAGCTACCGCTTTGAGTAAGTCACGTTTTCTCTTTACATCCATTTTGCACCTATTTCATGTAAAATGAGGGACCCTACAGTTGCCCTACATGAGATGCTTAATTAATGCAGAAGAAAGGGCGAAAGAGTGCAGGTGCCTTCCAGAAAGATGCAAAGTGCCTTCAAAGATTATAAAACACACTGGTAAAGAGAACCATGAGAGTACCTTAGAAAGCATACAGTGATTGTGCAGCAACATCCCTTTGCTCGGCTTATTGGTAGTAATGGTCGACTAAATAACCATAGTATAAAAAAAAAGTGATTTTGGTGTTATTGCTCATATGATTTAATTTATATGCATCTTGGTGTGATTTGATATTTATAAAAACATGTCAAGAGCAAATAAAATTATTTTACAACCATTTTTTTTCCTATAGTGTCAAATATTTGGTCTGTCAGGGTGCTTCTGTGTTAAGGTCATTTGAAGATGGCATCTTCTGGTTCGTTTAGAAACACTTAGCAAGTGACACAGCTTGAAAAATGGAACATTACTGCCTCTTAAATACGTTGTTCTCCTCCTTCCTGAAACTCATGGCATGAAACAGTGAGAAGTAAGGTCAGTGCAGGACAGGAAGGAGATTTTTTTTTTTTTTTTTTTTTTTTTTTGAGGAACCATAACCTAGATAAATCAGACACACAGGTTCTAGGAACAAGCAGTGTTCAGATAGAATAGAGAATTGGAGGGGAAAATGAATTGCTATTAGGATTATATTTTCCTTCTAGAAGGAGACAATCCTGAGCCATTTCCATCTTTAAAATTAATTAATTTTGGTGCTTATTTTCTTTGAAACATTTTAAATTACTGGAGTTGGATGTCTTGGTGTTAAAGCTAAGTTATTTTTAATTTATTCTTCATTGGTTCTTTATGCCTTTATGATTTTCAAAATAATATTTCAAATGTTAAACGTGATGATGGATAATGGTACTTTGTATGGTATCTTGATTTGTTCACCTCCTTTCTTTTTCTTCTTTTGTCTTCCACTTTATATAGCTTAGCAAAAATACCACATAAAGCTTATCTGAGGAGCAGCCAGGAAGGAGGTGTTTTAATTCTTTTTGTGAAGGGCAAGGATGTTCTTTGGACTCCTTGAAAGAACAGATTGGAAATGTTTCTGCAGTCGACCAAATATGGAAATATATGCCTTGCAGTTGAAGATCTGTCATCTACCTCAAAAACTCTCTATGGAATTTTGCTTGTTAGCACGTTCATCACTATAAATTTGATTTTGCTTCCAAACACTTGATTTTTGCAATGATATAGTTTTTTTAGTGCATGCTTTTCTAAAAATCTGTGCTGTCTATGACTTTGTAGGGATGCCTTCATCGTACTAGACTCGTGATGAACTTGTTCCTGCTGTAATCGAGAATTGCCTGTTTTCCTGTTCGTTTCCTTGGTGATAGCTATTGTGTCCTCCCACTTTCCTTTCGCTGTGAAAACAGAATCTTTCTTCAAGCTGAACTAAATGCAAAGTCTAGTGGCATACGTACACTTGGGTAGTAGCCTTTGTTTTCCAAGGGCAATCTCAAGAGTAAAGTTTGAAGTTCTTGTCCTCTTATCTTGAGAAATCTGAGAAATATAGAGGAAAGGGCAGAATGCCAGCGGGCAAAAACTGCTGAGAGCAAGAAGAGCTCTTGTGCATTAGTGACTGCTACTGCAGGACTAATGGAAGAAGAGCTGGTCCTGGTCAGTACCGATGAGTTAATCTAGCTGAACTCTGAGCACAGGAGGCCACCTACTTCTTTTAAAAACACATGTAATTTATTTCGTTTAGGGATACCTCAGGGCAAGGGAGATTCTGCACCATATTTCGCTCTTACTCCAGAGGTGCTCAGGTAAGCCAAGCACAGCTTGCTCAGTGGTGAGTAACGGTTGTTGGAGGAATGGAAGCGGAGCTGGCAAACCATCGGGATGGCTCCTATAGCTCGCTTGTGACCATGTGGATTCACTAATAGTCTGAAGATAACAAGAAACGTGGGAAATAACAAGGGGAGGATTTTCTTTTGGGGAGGGGATATCTGTGAGACTGAAGTTGAATCGGAGTAAAATACAGCGACATATATTCTTAAGCCTTCTTGTTGATTACCTCGATAACTTAAGCATGTTATCTGTTTGATCACGTGCCAGCTGTGCTAATACTACTTTTTAAAACTGTGTGCCAAGTAAGAGAAACTGACAACAGAAAACTGTCAAGAGTAGTGTGAAAAGTGCAAACATAGTCTATAATGTGATGAAATGTAATAACTAGTAAGGAAATTACTTTAGAAAAAAAAAAAGACAGACACCCTAAAAGTCTTTAAAGTCTTCAGACTTTAAAGTATTGCTGTAGTTCATGACATGTGTTGGTTCTGATGAGTTACATCTGTTACGTTCCAGAATGGCACTGAGCATTGAATCTTCAAGCTACTGAATGTGACCAGAAATATTTATTTGCTATGACTTGTGATGTGTGTATGATCAACCAAACTTATTTCCTTTAAAAAGAAATATTTACCAATATATTAAACCCCAAAACTAAGTCAGAGTTCCTGCCCCTTAGCTGATGTGTAATCTACACAGAGAGATGGGGCTTGGTTTCACAGGGTGCTGAGCTTCTGCTCCGCTGAGAAGTTGCTCAGCATCTTACATGATTATTTCAGAACTGAAGAATTTACAGATAGTACTCTCTGTGTTACACCTCTGTTAAACTTATTATTTTTATTTTTTTTTAATACAGGGAGTAATCCTAGTGTATGATATTACAAATCGCTGGTCGTTTGATGGAATCGATCGATGGATAAAAGAAATAGATGAGGTAAGGCACAACCCCGGAGTGTCACTATTCTGTGACAGATGACTAAGACTGACTGCTGATGATATTTTCCACTGTTTTTACTGGCATTTGCAGGCAGTGCTTACTACAGAGTTATCCAAGATGCCAAGTTTACAGTTTTCTGTGTTGATAATTCTAGAAAGTTGGAAACATATCAGCTGAAGTGTCTGATTTCTTTGGAGGTGTTGACGGAAAGCATATGGAGGGCAAAGATTTCAAACTGTAGTCCCACTTCTGCTATAGATTTTCCACATCATCTGTTCAAGCCTGTGTTCTCCAAGGAAGGGATGTTTTTAGATCAGAGAATCATAGAACAATTTAAGCTGGACAGGACCTCTAGAGATCATCTGGTCTAACCTGCCACTTAGTCTTCAAATCTTGAGAAAGCTTTTGGGTTTTTTAATTGAGGGAAGGGGAAAATGGAAGCCAAACTATTAATTTTTTTATTGCTTCTCTTTTTGCTCAGCATGCTCCTGGTGTACCAAAAATTCTGGTTGGAAATCGCCTTCATTTAGCCTTCAAGCGCCAAGTGTCTACTGAACAAGCACAAGCCTACGCTGAGAGGCTGGGCATGACTTTTTTTGAAGTCAGTCCACTTTGTAATTTCAATATTACAGAGTCCTTTACTGAGCTAGCAAGAATAGTGTTAATGAGGCATGGAATGGACCGGCTCTGGAGGCCAAACAAGGGTAAGCGATGTGCACGGAAAACGTGTAAATTCAGTTGTAGCTAAGGTTTATGGTTCATTAATATAAAACAATTTTCAGAAATACAAAAACATCAAAAAAGAAGAACCAGGAATCCTGTACAATTTGCTTTCTAAACAGAAAATATGTTCATGCAGGCATAACCTGGTCCTGCTTTTGTAAGGAATGACGTACCTTTCCTAGAGCTTATACGCTCAGTCATCTAAGTATTAAGACATAAATAGGAATCTGAAGCTGCAGATATTTCGGATAATATGTATGTGTGAAAAAGGGTGTGGGAGGAGAAATGAGAATTCATCCTGGCAGTGCAGAGTGCATGCAGAGTGCTGGGTATGCTACTCCACGTGCTGACACAGGCATGCTGTTATAATGTGAGTTTTGTGTCTGTTTTCAAGTACTGAGTCTGCAAGACCTTTGTTGCCGTGCCATAGTTTCCTGTACCCCTGTGCATCTTGTTGACAAGCTCCCTCTCCCTGTTGCCTTAAGAAGCCATCTCAAATCTTTCTCCATGGCAAATGGCCTTAATGCCAGGATGATGCATGGACGCTCCTACTCCCTCACAGCCAGCAACATCAGCAAAAGGAACAGCTTAAAGAAAGCTAAAATCATCCGTCCACCACACAGCCCCCCAAAAAACTGTACAAGAAACAGCTGTAAAATTTCTTAAGCTCTCAGTGGGAAAAGGAACCTGGATGGGATCCCCTGACGTGAAGCACTGAACACAGGACTCCTTGTTTAGTGGCTGAGCACACTCTGTGTAGGTTATCACACTACACAGATAAATATAAGAAAAATAAATCTTATTTTAGAGCTTGCTCACTACAGTACTGCTGCTTTGGAATGGATGACATGAAAGGATGTGACGTTCTGCTGGTGGATTTTCATACTGCATTTTAGTTTCCGACCTGCATGATGCCATTGTCTTTACTAGTGGATATGTTTCCGTGCAGGGGATAATTATCATTATATAAAGTTCTTAATTCCATGAAATCTGGAAAGTGACTTACTGTGTAATTGTATAAAATCCTGTCTTTTTGCAAACTACTCAAAAGTATAAAAATGAGACACCAGTTTGCATATTCGGGCAGAGGTTTTTAAATGCAATGTATTGTATACATTGTTAAATTCTGCAGGTAGTGTGATAAATTCTAGTAATGCTGCGATTGTGCATTTGGACTTTTTGTAAAGCATCCTTGAGAACTTTGAAGCACTAACTTAACTAAGCTAAAAATGTGTATATAATTATTATTCACATACACAACGAGGTTTTGTCCCATTGGTGTATGTAATAGATTTGATAAAGTTTTTGGTATGTTATTTAATACTTCGGGGAATTAATTTGTGGTTTAAATACTTATTTTTCTGTAAAAAGAAACAAATAAATACATTAAATTTTATACCACTCTACAAGAAAGTTATAGGAGGAAAATGCCAAAGACACTGTGGTAAAAGGAACATGACTTGAAGAGCTGCTTTATAAAGAAAGAACACTATTTAAAATATAAATAAATGTTTCTGGAAAAGAAATCCTGTGCTGCTTCCTTTAACTGGAGAAAGTTGTCTTTATCTTCCTTTAGAAGGATTTGAAGAACAATATACCTGAACTAGACACCAGGAATGTGAAGTCATCCCAAAAGCATCATGTAATGCTTTTGGTAAAGGATCTGCCTTCAAGATGGTTAACTGAAATATGAAAGAAAAATACTTGTCAAGTGTTCCCTTCTGTTTGTGAAGGAATTGTGTGACTTGTTCTTCTGAGCAATAACAGTCCTTTGAGGTGATGGTGTAACTTGTTCCATGTTTCTTCCAGGCGTCTTCACTACCGTGAGATACCATCAAGTGACATATCTACGATATTCCTTCTGGATCAGCGTAGATGTCTGCAGCCTCTGTAGGCAAGCAGGAAAAATTCTAGGTAGTAAAACGCCAAAGTTATGCCACGAGCTGGGCTGATCAATGCATCACTACTTAAAGAAAAGCACAGTCAGGAACACGCCTTCTCATAGTTAAAAAACTAAATGGCAGAGCAAAGTGTGTTGGAAGGAATTCCTGTCGGATCACTTCCTCGGTGCTGAGCAGGCTCCACCTGCTGGGCTGCCAGTGCCAAGTGAGCTGCAGGGAAATGCTCCAGCTATCACGATAAAGCTGTTGTAAGGTAGAAATTGCAGCTCTCCAGCTTAAGAAAATGTCCATCGTGGCCGGTGGCTACAAGAGGTTAAAGCTGAGTCTGAGACATCCGTGCTTTGGGAGCAGTCTGCTTGTGTTTGACAGGCAGCTGTGCAAAGAGTTCTCTTCCACGTGCGGTGGTAGGCTTTTTAATTTCTTCCAAGTTACAATCTCGGCCTCTTCAATCACCAGGGCATTAGCTTTGTTTCCTTGCTGTATGTGATATGCAGTAAGAATGCCTAGCTGGAGAGAGCATTAATATGGATGTGAGTGTCCTCCAAGTCAGATTCTGTATTCTTCCTGCCAGCCAGGATAAAGACAAGGTAAGAAGGAGAGGCTAGAGCAGCACTCCTCCCTTCTGGTAATGCCTGCAGCAATCTCACATGGAGTAACAAAAGCCTGAGCCTGTAGTTGAAGAGAGGAAGATTTTTAAAAAGCGAAGAGCTGGTTATCTCACGTACCAAGTCTTTTGGCTGCCTGAGGAGACAAAATCTTGTAAAGATGCAGTGCGATTATTTTAAATTTTTTGATACATGAGTGCACAAACAATAACCTATCAACTGGTCGGTGCGCCCTTCAAACTGAAAAGCTGTAGTAATTTCCAAACAGAAGTCTGCACTGGAGAAGAGCAGGTGACAAATCTGAAATACGTCATCGAGCCACTGGCGTGGAAGGCACCGAGCCCATACGGAAAAGGAGGTGGATGTGCATGAAGGACAGGGAATAGCTGGCACTTGTGTGAGCAGACACACAGCTGGGCTTTCCGCTCATCATACAATCGTGGAATAATCCAGGTTGGAGGGGACCTCCGCAGGCCATGGGGTCCCTCGTCCGGCTCGAAAGTAAATCCATTACTGGATTTACTCGGATCAGGTTGCTCAGGGCCTTGGGTCTGGAAAGTTTTCAAGGGTTTGGTTTTTTGTGTGGTGGTATTTGGGTTTGATTTGGTTGGGATTTTTTTGTCCAGTGAGAGGATCCCTTATTTCAGCCTGTTCTAACGGTATTTTTCAGCCCCCAAGCAGTTCGATACTCGGTATGCTCTTGGTGTGAGCTGGGCCCCTCGCAGCCAGACCCGACCCTCCCCTGCGCGTCCTCG